ACTGAATTTTACCGTACATTTCTGCCATATGTACATCAATTTGACAGTCACCACTGATAAGATACTACTAAATATATTGTAGAAACTTAATTTTCTGTAAAGTTGCTTTGCAACGATTTGTATCATGAAAAGAGCTGTACAAATAAACTTGAATTGAATTTGTATAGCGCTTTTCACAATACACATTGTTTTAAAGCAGCTTTACAGAAAATGCATGTGTCTACATTACAAAGTGTCCAAGTAATGTTCGTTTCTCAAATGAACTGTTCAAGATAATAGAATCATACAGTTGGCTAACATTAATTAATTTTAGGCAGAAGCTCATTAAAGCGATTATTACAAGTGTGATCATAATGATTACAATATAGAGAAAATTTGGCAGCTGTGCATATCGATTCAAGTTGGTGTCATCTGGGGTCCTCGCAGGGGTCAGCATCATCTCTTCACAGGTGTTGGGTCATCTGAAGTCTTTCTATGAGGCTGGAGCTGGTGTAATCTCTAGATACCTCAAGATGGGCATCCCGGGGTAGAAACAGAAAGACAAATGGAAAAGAATTAATGTAGCTGCTGTTCGTAACGTTTCAAGCAAAAAAATATGTTTGTGACTTTTATCTAGGGATGCACCGATACCACTTTTTACAGTACTCGCCCGATACCGATACTTTTATTTTTGGTATTTGCCAATACAGAGTACCGATACCAATATTTTTATTGCATTTGTAAATCTGTAAAATATTACAGGGTACAGAAACGAAAAAAAGAGTATGTATAATGTTGAGAGTCCTGCACCCACTAGTAAAAAAATATCAAATTATATCTGGTCTCGGAATAATTTTTGGTTTGACTGTATATATCCTTTGGTTATTTTCACACTTAATTATGCCCATTAAAATGTATTTTACAAGTTTTTGTTACTTTCACTGTTCATTTTTTGCTCTATGGTACATCATCTTTAATTTAATAGCATTAGAGCTGCTCCATTGCAGCGGCTTAGTACTGTAATCACGCGCTTTGCTGTAATAATGCAGGGAACCACTCGTTATAAATCTCCTAACTGTGATATTTTTAGAAATAGAAGTCGCGGGGTTTTTTTTTTCCATCTGAAACGTGCTGCGATTTATATTCCAAAGCCACTCATATAATGCAGAAACACACATGAAGCAAGCAAAACACGCGCAACGTGTGCACGTATTTGTACTGATGCAGAATAGTACAGCCTAGCGCATTTCACACCTGCTAGATTCACTTTCGCCAGAAAGTCGTGTATGCCTAAGGTTAAAAATAAATGACGTTTATAGTGAATGCCCCTATAAATGGTCTTATTTTTACGATTTAGTTTTAATCCAAATGCTAAGTGAGTGAACATCAAAGATCAAACAACAGAAGTGCGTTCTCTCTCTCCCCCCCTCCCCCTCAATCCACTCAGCGTGCTTTGTTTATCAGCTCACGCACATCAGCTATACAGTCAATACTGAATGCTTAACATTATATTCATTGCATGTATATACTTCGTAGACATCTTTAATCTCTAATAACTCCATTCTGCTGTCTGTTGGTGTTTCTTTGTCTGAATATGGCACTTAGGCTATCACATGCTGTGTGGTATCGGTGTATTTTAACGAGTACGAGTACAGGAGCTCAGTATCGGGACCGATAGTGCATTCCTAGTACACACCATGTGCTTCAAAGAGTAGCAACGTGTTCTGTGTCATCTACTACACATACTCAGCACACGGGGGCTCATGATACAGTGTTTCCAGCAGTCCAAGAGTGTACTCACACTAGGCAATCTTTGAACCGCGGTTCATTTAGCCGTCCCTGGCTCACTTGGAAGAGGTGGGCCAGAGCACGGTTCACTTGGGCACGGTACGCATGTAGTATGAGCGCTAACTGTGCCGGAGCACAGAACAGCTGCTATTTTGTGTGTGCTATGGTCATCATTACGACCTCAAACATATTCTATTACTACTACTTTCAATTAATTTAATTAAATCATGAACAGGAATTATAGTTTGCAAGTACAGCTGCAAATTCTTTCATTAACGTCAGCTGCCTCTGTAATAATTCTAATACATACCAGTGAAAAATCGCTAATAAATTATAAATAAATGTATTAGGCAAAATATTAGCGAAAGTGGTTTTCTCCGTTATCTCCTACATGACGCAAGCATGCTAAAGTGAAAGTGCTGCTTTGTTATTGTGAACAAAATGCTCCAGGTTCACTGTAGTTTCACATCTGCATAACTGTAAATGTTTCTGCCACAAGTTATTATATACTAGGGATATGCCAGTATCAAATTTTCATGTTGCGATTAATTGCTAGTGCTTTTATCACGGTATACGGTATTATCACGATATTGAAATGTAGTTTTAAAAAAAGTGCTGTCATAATACAGTATAACAGGTTTAATAACTTGATCCAATACACCCTTGTTTTCTTTCTCAGCTCTTTACGTTCACTTAAGGCATAACCGATTGTATTTATGGGATATTTTGTTAAATATTGGAATACCTAAGATTAATGAATGTTCAGAAGAATTTTTTATTGGCAGTTTGTTAACTAATGAATTAACTAATGTTAACTAATGAAGCCCTAATGTGAACTGTGACCGAACAATAAATAATCAAAACACTTTTAAACAATATCTAGGGCATGTAGTAGTTAACTCAGAGTTAAACTGTCAGAACAAATTCAGCTTGATAATGTAAGATAACTTTGATAGAAAGGTATGTAATGGATTACAATCAACCAAAAATTAGACAGCTGTTAGTATGACAGTATTTA